TTTGCATCAACTCCCACTGAAATAAATAACTCAAGAACCACGCAACATAAATAACAGCAGAATGGTTTGGGGGGGAAAATATCATCTCTCCATCTTCTAAAAATAGCTTCCTTTTGGCTATGCTGTTCCTTTATGTCTTTCCTTGAGAAAGCAGGGATGAACAGAATACTGATTGGGATCCACTGGCACAGGCAGCCTCAGGAGCTGCATTAGAGGCACATTTCACATTTCTCCCCCAGCCTGCTGGTTTTCAGAAGGAGAGGGTCTTTTCCATCTCCCTTTTCCCAAGGCTGGCTCTGTGGCTGTCCATCCCCTGCTCCTCTTCATCTCAAGGCTGTCTCTGCCCAGGAGGTGCCATGGGGTGGCTGAGATTCTGAAATCCCAAACCAAATCCAGCACAGCCCCAAAACTCCCTCTGGGCTTGCATGGAGCTCTCAGGAGGACCTACAGACATATGTGAAAGTGCAGGTTTACCCACCCAGCCTTCCACAGCCTTCCCTGGTCAGCTCTTACCATCAATTCTTACATTCACAAATGTAGGGGTCAAACCCTGAACAGGGTTAAGCTGAGGACTCCCATCCTTGCTCTCTTCCATTCCCAAATCCTGATGGATCAACTGAAACCTCCTTCACATCAGCAAGTTCCAGCTTGGTCACATTGAGCTCACACAAATTATGGAATCAGAGAATGGTTTGGGTTGGAAGGAATCTTAAATACCAGCTAATCCACCCCTGCCATGGGCAGGGACACCTGCCACTGTCCCAGGGTGCTCCAAGCCCTGTCCAACCTGGCCTTGGACACCTCCAGGGATCCAGGGGCAGGCACAATTTCTCTGCACACCCTGTGCCAGGCCTCACACCCCTAAAATATCAAAGAGCTTTGTCCCAAAGCAGAAGGATTGCAAAGAAATTTTTCATTTTTCTATTTTTTTACTGTGTACCTGATTCCAAAGGTATTTGGAAGGAGAAATCCTCTCCCCTCCTTGGGCTGAAGCCGCAGAGACCTGGGATGGTGCTGGGATTTCACCCAAAGGCTGTGAGCAGATAGATTTGCTTTCCATCCAACACCTCCAACTCTTCTGGGGCACCCAAGAGCTCGGGCACCCAAAATTCCTTATTTTCCCACATTGTCGTGTTTTTGAAAATCCCTGAAACACATTGAAACAAAGGCAAAGTACCTGTGCTGGTGGTGTCTGAGCTTTACAGGCTGAGGGGAGCGAGGGCAGTCGAACACACACAGCCAGATAAATGGAGAAGAGGTCAAATCCAAGGCTATCCCCATCCAAGGTTTATTTCAGGACCCCTTCTCCAGCACTACGAGGGGAGCCCCAGCCCTCTCAGAACCAAGCTGTTCCTGCTATTGCTGGCTTGGGACAAAAAGCACACTGCTGCTAACCTCTTACATAAAGTGAGCAGGCAAACAGCTGAATTGCTGACCCCACGTGGCCTTTTCCCCAGGATTTGTGGGTTTGCACAAAGAAGCCAACATTTTACATGCAGCCCTTGATGGAGTTTGGAATTGTGCAGAAACCCTGTTTGGAGTGCACACTCTTAACCCAATTGTTTGTGTACAATGTTCCTCCACTCTGATGCCAAACACTGGAGGTCTCTGGGTTATTTTTTCTATTTTTATTTTATTTTTTTTAAAGCTGCTTGGTCATACACAACTTTGAGTGCCTGGATATACTTCCACTACCATTAGTATTGCAATATAATACAAGTCTGCTGTCAGGAATGATTTTTTTCCTAGAATCTGTCCTTTCTTTCAACTGAGCACTCAGAGCTCACTAGATATGAGTTCCAAAATTATTAAACACTTCTTGGCTCAGAGTTTTCTGTGCAGGCAGAGATATATATCAGGTTTATTTTGTGAGTGGGAGATACTTAGCAAGAGCAGTTGACTCAGTCTGCGTTTTGAGTAAACAATTCTCTCCATCTTTACATGCAAATTGATTGATTTAAGATTTTTTTGGAGGCTTTTGTCAATTGCTAGCAGATATAAAACATTCAGAAGGAAGTGCCACTTCCCTTTGAGTGGGGAAAAAACCTCAGGCACGAGGTGCCAGCAGCTCCTTTCATTAAGGCAGGGGCTGCACTGGCTTTGCCTGCCCAGCAAATCCCAGAGCCTCCAGCACTGCTCCACCAGATCCATGAAAACCATTGGAGAGCCTGTGCTGCAGCAGGGGAGCTCAGGGACCACACACTCCCCCTTCCCCTGCCCTGGATGTTTAAATCATCCCCGAGCAATCAAGCCTCACACCTCAGAGGATGAGAAAGTGCAAGTGATCCCAACTGGTGGATTACACAAGGGGGGGATGAAAGCACAGAACACCACAATGCCCGGATTCAACAGCAACAAAACAGCATTGAGGCATCCCAGCACAAAAATCTCCATTGTACATTTGATTTCCAGCCATCCCATCTCTGAGTTGCTAAAAACTACAGGACAAACCATTCCCTCCTCCCCAGCTATCCCAAACCCAACCTTGGCGTTTTTGTTTTTATTCAAAGACACATTAATTGTTGTGAAGGCACAAAGTATTACCTGGAATAACACTTCAAATGCAAATTAAGGGCTGTGTAAAATTATTGTAGTGCAAGAGTACCATGGTTTATTAACAGCAGATTTGCAAGGTTAATTTTCAATTATGTATTTCTTATTAGTTTTCTAGCTGTCTTGCTATTATTAAATTTAAAGAGGAAGATACTTTCAATGTGTCCAGCTTCTGTGGCGTTATTACTGATAATTATTCCTATTTTCCAATTTGTGTTACTCTCATGTCTTGCAAAATTTGTAATTAATGAGCAAATAATTATAGCAGCACTTACTAGAGCTGCTTTAGTTTAAGCTGTGTCAGCTTTTGTATTAGGATCCCCATTTTTCAAGGGTTTATAACTCAAGCATAAAAATTCACTCTGGGCAGAGCCTTGTCATAAGAGCTGTCTGCTGAGCGTGGTTTTTTTTGGTTTTTAAATATTTCTAAGCAGCATTATTTAGGTCTTTTTTCTTAAAGTTATGGACATTTTAATATAGCTGAAAACTTCTGAGGGCATTAAGCGTACAGCACTCTGCTTTCCTATGCTCCAACATCTTGGAAGTAAAGACATTTTATTTTAAGGTGAAGGCATTCACTTTCACAAACAGGAAACAAGATGCCTCAGCATCTCCAAAGCCCAGAACTGGGTTTTTAATGCCTGGTGGTCATTAGCTTTAGAAAACAGACACAGAAGAGAGAACACAGAGGAGAGCTTGACATTGAGGGATGTTTGTGCTGATCCCACCCAGTTAAAGCATTCAGGCACTGCCTCAATTAAGGCACACGAGTGGTCCTTAGGAGTCAACAGGGCTGGCCAGGCTCTCTGGGATGCCCAAAGCACTCACTGCCCAATTCAGCAGAACAAAGCTCTGCTTTTGAGGGGGTTTTGGGCTGTCCCCATTCACTGCCACCGCTGTCCACGTGCCTGGAGGGGATCCACAGGGATCTCTCCTAGGATGCTGAGGGCTCAGGGGGCTCAAACAGCTCAGCACCTCCTCAACGAGGGGCTCAGAATCCCACAGGGGCCTGGCTGGTGCCAGTTTACAATTTAGCACAAAACCAGTGCTCCTTCTTTTGTGTGGAAGAGGAAACCCCAAGGGAAAAGCAGCAGATGCCAGCACACCCAGGTTTGCTGTACACAAAATAAAATTGGAAAGTGGCGGCTCTAGAATAAACATTCTGCAAAATTTAGGCTCTACAGGAGAGCCTGTCACAGCTGCTTCTTCCAAGAATTCCCTGTGGTCACTCATCCAGAAACACTGGACACATTTCTTCATCACTCCTGCTCTTCTGCACCTTTCCTCCTGCAAAGGCCTTGGAGCAGCCACCCAGCTCCTGGAGAGCCACTCTTAGAAATCTGGAATCAGTAGGATTGGAAAAGACCTGCAAAATCATCAAGTGACTCTTGGAGTGTTTGACCTTAATACTGACCCTGCTTGACCTTAATATTGAGCTTAATTAAAGCAAGACCAGCATAACTCAGCAAACAAGTCAGCAGGGCTGTGAAAATCACCTTTAGTGCATTTCACACAAGCTTTGAAGAGCAGGGAGGATTTAGACATTTCCAGCAGCAAACAAACAGCAAAAAATCCCAGTTTTACTGGGGGATATAGCCAGAGATGAGATAAAACCAGAGAATGATGAGATCTACCTGTATCAGCCACAGCAAGTCACAGAATGCAAGGTTTGTCCTCTTGAAAATCCAGGTAACATTTTCCTTGAGCCTCTTCATCAGGAAGGGAGGCTGGGCCTTCTCTGACCTTTTATTTACCCTTCCATGCCTCCCATCCCATAGGTTTTTCACACACTCATTCGGGATAATTATCTCCTCATGTTTGCGTTAATTGCTGATGAGGGGGACCCAGTTTTTATTCTGTTGGTTAATCCAGATCTGCAGCATTTGGAGACTTTTACTGACTAAGGATCCCAATACCCCCCTCCCTGGGGCCATCCTCATGGCCAAACCATATTTTATAAGCCTGTACTTCACTGGCAAACCCCGCCAATCACTTGCAAACCCCCCTGTGTTGCAGGAATTTTGGTATCTTTATTTTGCATGTGTGCAGAGCCTGGTCCAAATATGGCTGATAAATATATTATATAAATAATATAATAAATATAATAAACCCCTGCCATCTAAACCAAGTATTCCTCCTCATTATCGGGGTCTGTTTGACTTGCAGGTAAATATTTTCCCTTACCAACCCATGTCATAAGTTTGTCCCAGTTCAGATTACTCTGCAAAACCAAAAGAATCTCTATGTGCTGATATTCCTTGGTTTCTGATGGTTTCCCACTTTGGCTGTAACCATGGAGCTGCTTGATTTATCATGGCTTCATGGCACAACGTGTATCTCATTATTCTCTCCTGGAAGCTTTGTATGGCTTTTATTTAGCTGTAAAAACAATTTACATTTTTTGAGCATCTGAATTGAAGATAGACTAGAACTATGACATCGAGAGCTGGAGATTTTATGCAAATTTATTTATAAATATAAATCACATTTAGAATGCAAAATTACACAAATGTCTTCTACAGATCACCCATCTCTTAAAGAAATAATTTCTTTACTTTTTTAAGGATAATGCCTAAACTTGTTATCCATATATTTGCAATGGGAATGGAAACTTGGTAAAAAATCCCGAGTGAAATTTGGGATCAGTTATGTGACAAGGAATCTTTCCAGTTTCAAGTCCACCTGACAGTGCTCCTGTACCCACACCACCCCCAGCACTGTGCCAGAACTTGTGTTACTCAAATATTATTCCAGAATAACATTCCTGGGAAAACCCAGCTGCTTACATCTAATTCCAATACTCCCAAGCACCATAAATCCAGGCGTTTTCCCTGTCTTTCAGAATGGAATAGACTGAACTTTTGAAAGTGGGATACAAGAGATGAGGATTATCTGTTCAGAGCCCCTCTGAACAGATAATATGACAGAAGTTCCTTGGATTTCAAAACAATCATGGATTTGGATACAATTAGGTCTTCATCAAATTTCTTTTGATACCTTTTCTCTGCTCTAATCTCAGGTTTTCCCTTTTTCCCTCTTTTGGGGTCAGGTTGTTTTCTCATTTTCTCTTCTAACACAAAATCTCTGCCCTGTGGAAAAAAATCAGTGGTTGTTTTCTTGACTTTCCAACAAAATAATCCGTGAGTTCTCAGTTTTGATGAACAGTTTTAGCATAACATTCCTTCTACTTGATGGAAGTGACATCCAAACCATGTCAGAAATCTCCATGCTGCCCATCCTTCTGCCACAAGGAATTTTTCACTGAGCAGTTCTATTCCCATTGCACTTTATCCCCTCAAAGAGGGGAGAATTGTTTCCTAAGGAAAAAAAAAAGGCATCAAACATTAAGTGCCAATGGCCTGCTCTTCCTTAGCTCTGCTTCTACACTGAGGTTAAATACAACTCTGGAATCAAAACTAACACAGAAAAGGACTTTTCCCTAAGTCAGAGCAGCTCCGTGTGGTGTTTGCTACCCTGAGCCTCTGAAATTCACACAACAGAATCACAAAATCACTAAGTTTGGAAAAGACCTCCAAGATTGTCCATTCCAAACTTTGACCCAATTCCACCATATCCACTAAACCAAATCACTCACATTTCTGAGCCTCTTTTCACTATTTTACCTACAAAAGCATCCAGCTGCATTTTCCTGTCATTTGGGTTTGTTTAATTCCACCTTTTGAAAAACTGCAAAGGGAAGAAACTCCAGGATTACAATTGAAAAACTCATAAAATGATCCTCTGAAATTTACCACGTTAGAAACTTCCTGTCAATGTTTTTAACCATGCCACAAAAATCCTTAAAAGACACATAAGTTTTGGTTCAGTATCATGAAAAACTTTTAACACTTAATCAAGTGGATATTCTGATGGATGAACACTGAGGATACATTTCCAATGTTATACATTTAGGGTGACAGAAGGAAAATACCTTTTCTAGCCAGTTATTGCTCAAATCAGCATACTCAGAATTTACAAAGCGTTGTGGGCAGAATAAAGTCCTATTCCTCAAAATTTTCATTATTAAAAAATCTGGATATTTGGAAGACAGCAGCATCCACTGTGAATAGCAGGAGAGTGATGGCTGTGGATGCTCAGCTTTGCATCCTGGCTGGTACTGGACCAAACTCATCCAGCAGGGCATCAGAACATTGGAGCAGAGAAGAATAAATTATAAAGGAAAAAAGAAAGGTGTAAGAATGAGGAAAGTTGTAACTAAGAAGAGCTGAGTTAACTGGAGACTGGTTTAACAGATGTAAAATAGTTTTACACTTCAGGAGGGAATTGTGCTGGTACAACCTCCAGTCCCACCTCAGACAATTGGATTTAAGCACGAGTTTAAGGACAAAGCTGAGCTGGGATAGTTTGTGAGATCACTATAAAAGCACAACCTTCCATTCTCCCAAACCATATGGGTTTGGCTTCCCATATGGAGTGACAAAATAAAAATGTAGTCTAAAAATAACTCTCAAAAGTGCACTGGCTGAAGGCTGCTTCCCATGCCACAGTTTGATTAGCCTTGTGTTTTATTTCTTCAGCAGTATTTTCCATTTATCTCTGATTTGGAGCACGAAAAAAAGGCTGCTTTTATAGTTGTAAGCAGAGGAGAAAAAGGCATCCTGGAAACAAATATAGAGAGAGCTCTTCTGGCTTTACAGGAGCTGCAGGAACAAGGAAAACAATTTCAGAGCAGCACAAACCAAAGTGATGCAGGGAGAGCCAGAGTGCTCCCATGGGAAGGATGGCACTGAATGCCAGCATTCCCACCTGGGCTCTGCTGGAAGGTGCCTCTGCAAAAATCAGAGATTTATTTACTTGTTTTTTGGTTTTTTTTGTTTTTTTTTTCAGGGGAAAAGATTCCAGCCTCTCCTCGGATGCTGTGGTAGGTGTTGGGCTGCTCGCTGTGGGAGAGAACTCGAGGGGCTGGAGCGAGTCCAAGGATGGGAATGGAGATGGGAAGGAGCTCCAGGAGAGGCCAAGGGAGCTGAGAAGGGGCTCAGCCTGGAAAAAAGGAGGCTCAGGGGGACCTTGTGGCTCTGCACAGCTCCTGACAGGAGGGGACAGCCGGGGTGGGTCAGGCTCTGCTCCCAGGGAACAGGGGAACGGCCTCAGGCTGGGCCAGGGGAGGCTCAGCTGGGATTTTAGAGAATCTTTCTTCATGGAAAGGGTGTAAAGCATTGGAATGGGCTGTCCAAGGCAGTGATGGATTCACCAGTCCTGCAAGTGCTCAGAAAACCTCTGGATGTGGCACTTGGGGACTTGGTGTAGTGGTGAACATGGGGGTGCAGCTGGGTTGACAACTGGACTTGACGACCTTAAAGTTTTTTCCCCAACCTTAATGATTCCATGATTCTAAATTTTAAATTCCTTCCTACCTCAGCTGGAGCAGGGAATAGACCATCACCAAGCACCTGGAGATCTGCTGGTGGCATCCAAGACCTGAAACCCCTGGCTCTGGAGGGGGAAGAGGGAAGATCAGCCTTCGTGGGAGCCCCCCGACATCGAGGAAGGGCTGAGTCACTGCTTGAAGACAAGAAAGAAATATCCCAGCTGGGCTTCTCAGGGATTACTTCCCCCATGCTGGAGAAGCCAAGGAGAGCATAAAGCCACTAATAGATGATGCTTTAGATGAGCAGAAAGGTTGATCTGTGGAGGGAGCCTGGATGAAACATTTGACTTCTGAATCTGTCATTGGTATTTCTCATTATTTGTGTCTTTTGTCAAAATAAGTAAAGAAATAAATAGCAGATAACTAAAAAATTCACATCCAACTTTCCAGGATGATGGAGAGAATAATGTCTTGCTTTTCCAGCATTTCAGTTTTCCCACCTCCCTGGGTTGGCCTGGGTTTTTTCAGGTTAATGGGTTTCCTGCAGGCTCTGGCACTGCACATTCTGTGCACACTCTGAGACAGTTTCTGTCCTGTTTCTGCATTAGTATTTGTTACTGCAGATGCAAAAGTGAAATAAAACTGAGAAAAAATTGTGTTTGTAAGAAAAAGATGCCCCTCTCCTCAGCACAGAGGGGAGACAGCAATGTCAAGGTGGGGCTGGGGAGGGAGGAGCAAATCCGGGGTCTGGTTCAGCTCAGGAGGAATGAAAGGTCCAACCCCTTCATTCTTCAGGAATCCGGAGTGAGAAAAATCCAGACTGAAGCCCAGGAGCCTGCACTGGACACACATCACACCACAGCCCAACATCTGCACAGTGCACAATAAACTTCTTCTATTTGATATTTTTTCTCTCTCCAGTTTCTTAAAGCTCTAGGAATGATTTTCCCAATCTGAGCAAAAGCTCTGCACTCCCCCTTAAAAGAGATTTTTATAATATCTAAGAAATATTCAAATCTAAAGAGGGGAAAGAAATCAAGAGTGGGAAAAGGCTGTAAAAGCATTGGCAGAGAAAGGATTAGAAACCAGCTTTTCTCTACAGAATTTATAGCGAGAAAAAAAAAATCCCGCACTTCGGAAACAATTATTTACAAAGTTCAAAGAGTTTGGTACCCTTTGCTTGGGTAAGATAAGGGGCAACAAATAGCACCCACAGACACGAGGAGTTTAACCCAATTACTCCTGTCAGCAAAACTAATTTCACAAAGCGCATTTCAGCCAGGAAGAATACTTTCCTTGCTCCGATTCCTTTTTACATTGCTAATAAGTCTCTTAGCAGTCGATTAGAAGTGCCTCTTCAGGCAGGAGCAGGATCGCCCTGAGCGCAGCCAGCGGTCCCTGCTCCGGAAAAATCCTGATTGGAGCCGGGGGGAATTTCGCCCGAGGAGCTTCCCTGCAGGTGTTTGGTGCCTGGCTGTGTCATTGCAGGGGCTGCTGGTGGTTATTACAGCACTGACAGCTCCCAGGAACACGATCTGGGGCCGTTCTGACCCTGCTCCCTCACTGGCATCCAGAAATCAAAGGGCGTTTTCAGGGCTGCGTGTCCAGAGAGGGGAAGAGGACTCACCTGCCTGACAACTGGATAAAGCTGGCAAACCTTAGAAATTTGTCCCAAATGATGCAAAATCTATCTGGAACATCCCAAATCCTGTCACCTGCTGAGTTAGGTAAACCCTTTAAGGCAATGTAAGTTCAGAGGAACCTAATTTCAGTAGAAAAAATGATGGATGAGGGACAAGGATGATCAAGGACAGCCCTCTCCGGGTGGGTGCCTCTTTCCCCAGCTCCACAGATGGGGAACATTTCCTGAGGAGATGCTGAAAAGCCCCTGGCTGTGCTCTCTGGAAGTGAACAGCAGCAGGAGCTGCACCAAGGCAGGAGGATGAGCAGTGGATATGGGAGACAGAGAATTTAAACTTTTTGACTCATCCCCAGAACAATCTGAAAAAAGTTTCAGTCTCTTTGTGGATAAATACAATTTTATCAACTCTGCTGAAGGCAGTGAGGAGCCCCAGGCAGCCCTTGGCACCTCACCTGCACCTGGAAAATTAATGCCGTGTCTTAATTCATCCAGAGAAATGCTCACTTATGCAAAGAAAATATTTAGATGATGGAGAAGAGGATCAGCTTCCAGCTTTGGGTATTCTGGGCAGCTCTGTGATCCGTGTGTGGGCACCTCAGTGAAGAACAGGGACTGGAGGTGTCCATGTCCATCCCAAACATTACGAGAAATCATCTGACATCTAAATCCAACACACACAAAATAGGCTAAATTCATTAAGTCAAGTTATTCCATTTTAATTCTCACTTTTTTCGTTTCTGTTTCAAAGGCTTTGTGGCAATTCATGTCAAAGAGCCAAGTAAATATTTTCTTGTGCTGCGTGGAAGATGATGTCAGGCAGTGATGGGAGTGAGATACTGACTTTGTAAAACTGTTTGGACCTCTGATAGGATTGACTCATTTTGTCAGATTATAGAAAATGCATTCCATGATTATATACACCCCTAGAGGCCCCGTGGAGGTGAGATTCTGCATCTCACAATGTTATTTAACCAGGAAAAAACAGACTAAGTAAATAAAAAATTTGCTGGATGTGACTTCATCCTGCACTGTTGACACCTGCTTCTATGATTTAATGGATGTTACTAAGAATATCAGGGTTGCTAAAGTAAATGATGAAGAAATCAGAGGTCAATCATATAATAATAAATATTAGCATAGGTTTCCCAAGGCCAGAAGTGCCTGCAATGGTAATTGGAATTATGATTTTCCTCTTGAATTATGTGATACTGAAAACACTTTGTTCTCTGCTGCTTTCCTGGAACTGCTCCATTAAAGCCAAGGAGACAAACTCTCCAATTTTGTTTAATCCAAGAATTAATGTCCCCTTTTCATGAGGATTCTTTTTCCTTCCTCACCCTGTACATGAAGTTGTGTCAGAGGGGTGTCCCTTGTGCTTCTGCTGCTGGTCTGAGCACCCCAGCTCTGCCATCCCTGCTGGATATTCAGGATAAGGTAGAAAAAGAGGAAAACTCCTCCAAACAGCACTGCACACAAAGGAAGCATCAAACCCTTCCTCAGCCACAAGCCACTTCCCTATGGAACACCAGGATAAAATGCCCTCAAAGTGCATTAATGCAACAGCCAATATATGAAATTTGATGAAAGACTGGTCCCAACAATATAGTTAAATTGACAGAATAACTGAAGCTCATGGCACTATTTACAGCATCTCTGAATTACTCTGGACACACAGAAAGCACCAAAAAAACGTGGCTGTAGCTTTAGAAGAATTCATTTTGGAGTTATCCAGCAGCACCTTGTACAGCAAAAAATCAGCCCAGCAGCCAGGCTGGTGCTGGGAGGAAATTCCAGAGGGTGAGGGGCCGGCAGTGGCTCTAAAGCACTGAGTGCCATCCTTCCCCACCTCCAGACAGCACTGCTGTCCCAGAGCAGTCTGAAAGTCAGAAGAATTAAATATTTTCAGCAATAAGAGTTGCTGGGTGCTGCCTGTCTTACCTGGGGATTCCTGCCAGCACCGCAGATTGCTTTGGAAATGCTGCTAAATCATATTTTTTGCAGGGCAAAACCTGCCACAAACTAATCTTGTAATGCTGCCTGACTATTGTTGGGCTGTTTTCCTTTCATGCCTGTGGCTCCTTGCTGACAGGCAGCTCACAGAAGCCGTGCTGGAGCTGGTGGCTGATGCTGGAACACTCCGTGTGGGGAAACCGGGATACGCCACGAGTGTTTCAACGCGGTTACACAAAAGTCTAAAATTAGGTCATAAATTATATAATCCTGCAAGGAAACAACAAATTTAATGACTATGCCAAACCAGAGATAAAAGCTGAGGAAGGAAATAGCATCTTGCTCATTAAATATTAAGGATCAGATCCTTCAAACACTTTCCAGTGATGAACTCTGTGGGAGCTTGGCATCTGTATTTGTGTGTGTTCTATAGAATGTGCTTATACATCATATACAAGTGCTGGGTGTGATTTATGGAGCACACACACATAGTAAGTATATTTATAATGCATAAATACATTCCATCAAGAGCAGAGGAGGTGATTAGTGAGAGTTTCCTAAGAGGTTTAATCAGATATTTTGATGGCTTATTTCCAGTGTTGCTCCAAAAGCATTTTTCATTGCAGGGCACTGGGAGAGAGCAGGTAGAGAGAGGCATCTCCTCTCCCCACTTACAGCAGCAGCAGCTTTCACATCACATCTTCAGCGGGATTGAAGAACCCTGTAAAGGAAGAAAGATTTCCAAGATGTAACAATGGATTTGAAAATTCCCTGCAACCTTTGAATCCCTCCCCTAATGCTGCTGTGCCCCAGCCTTTCTTCTCACCTTGCACGAGGCAAATCTGGTTTGATCTGTCTGAAACAACGCAGGGGCGAGGTCTTGTGAATATTCCCTTAAAAGTTGGAAGTGATTCCCTCGGGCTGATGGCTGTGCTGATGTCCTGGGTATGTTAATGAGAGGGAATGGGGATCTCTGATGGAAAAAGGCAGATAGCACTCCCGTCCTTGCTGTCGTCAAAGCCTCTCTGATAACCATGTCCTTTTCTTCAAAGACTTGAGTCATTTGTGGATTGACTACATAATCCTTGTGCTGGAGCCTGGGAAAACTGCTGTTGATGCCCTTGGCAAATTCTTAGCCTAAAAAAGCATGAAAAAGAGGACCAAGTAATTTCAATTCCATAAAATACATTAAATGCAGCACACAGGTATGTAAATGGGAAACTCCATAACTGTAATTTGCCCATTTAGAGCCTGATCTAAAGGCTATAAAAGTTAATTTGAAATCTTTTCATTGATTTTAATGGCCTTTAGATCAGGCCCATATTAGGCACTGCATATCATGTTTGTTTCAGTGCAATAGTGTATTTATGTACAATGTGAGTTATGTGGATTATAACACATGCAGATCCCCTGCTTATTGTGCAAGGACAAAGCTTGTGAAATTTACAGGCTTTAACAACACACATAAAATCCAACAAAACCAAAATAAAGTCCCAAATAATGAATAGTGTTTTTAAAAGTGAGATTAAAAAAACAATGATGAGGCCTTATTTCATTATATACTAATACAACCTAAATGTATTTTAAGGATCATGAAATCCAAATGGAAATTTGCACAATTCCTCATTTCTGACTGAAGCAGTTCAACAACAACAAAAAAAAAAGTAGTAAATGATTCAAAACCTCTCAAAGAAATAGCACTTTTTTTTTTCTAATTTGGGGAGAGAAAAAAAAGGGTTTCAACCCAAGCTCAGCAAGGGATAACAGCATTACAGGCGCTGCATGGAGAATTTAGCCACTCATAATTCCAAATCCTTCTCAAATGCTTTATTGCTATAAGGTGGCTCATAGCAGCCTCCACACAACAGGACTCCCATAGCATTAACCATGAGAGATAGGCTTCCAGAAAGAAACTATAGCAAAGTAATTGTAAATCTCTAATGATGCATAAAACTGAGCTGAATTGGTCCTGAATTCTCAGCATAAAAGAAATGAACCATCAGAAGAACCAATTCTGGTGGCAGTATAACACACCCCAGTGTGGAAACTGTTTATGGTGTTTGCTGCAGTGGAAATATTCCCACTAATATGCAAGGATAGGAATTCATTAAAAAGGCCTGAAATGCTGCAGCTTCTTGGGATGCCACATGTGACTGAAACTGAAAACAAATCGTTAGCCAAAAGGAAAACCTTGTCTGTACCAAAGCAGGCCATTGGCTCAGGCAGTGCCACTTTGCTCTACAATAAATACAGTGGGATCTGCAGGGTCTTTTTTTACTGAAATTAGATCAATAAATTCTGTGGGATCTGCAGGGTTCCAAACCCACCTTGTGAGATCTCCAGGGTGGTTTTATGCCTCTTGGGGGGCTTGGCAGCACCAGGCTGGGCTTTGTTGGAACTGTGCCCACCAAGATGTCCCCTGGACTGCTTGGACAGACCTGACTGAAGCCTCATCCCCTTCCAAAAAATCCTGTGCCCAACAGGACACCTGACCTGGGAGCCCCAGTGGTGGCCTTCAAGGGACATGGCCATAGGCAGCTCAGAGAGCTGTCTGTGTTAACACCCAAACTCTCCATTTTCCTCAGAAAGTTTAGCTGATTCCCACCAGATTAGCACCCAATAAAATATTTAAAACCATAATTAATGATACAATTTAATTAATTAACAACCAATCCACAAACTCTATGGGCCGGTGTACCCGGCCCATTCCAGAAACCTGGACCCTCTCCAGTTAATCCATCACTGTCCAGAGGCACCTTGCTCCAGGAGCAGATCAGATGGATGCTCTGGGAGACCAGGAATGCCAGAACAAGAGGCTGCACACGTTTCCCCACACAGCCTCACCCAGGAGCTCCAGTGTGGCCATAAATCCCATTTTTGGAGCCGTCATGCTTTTCACGTCCAGTAGATCTCTGGGGTTTTTTTTGGCACTGCCAAGAGGTGTGGGATCATGGGATGAAGCTTTTCTGGCACCAGGGCATCTGTCCACTGAGAAGGAGATTGACAGGGCTGGAATGGTTGGATTTGTTTGTTTTCTCATTTCACAACTCGGAAGAGCCAGACATCTGAGAGCTCGGATGCTTCATTGCACGGTGTCAAAACCGGCGCAGGCACAGATTTGAAATCTGCATACGTGGACAAAAAGAGGGAGTATTTGAAATTAATTACAATTTCTAGGCACTACCCAGAGAACAATATTTACCCATAATAAGCATGCACCAAGGAATGGCACATTTACTGCACGGTTTTTAGTGAAGCTGCAGTTTTCCACACTGCCGGGTAGGACTCCAAGGCTTAACCAGGACTTTTCATTTTATAAAAGCATTTTTAAGAGTTCTCTTATAAAAAAAAATTAAATATCACTGATTTAAAGTCAAGGTAAATGAAATGAAATGCGAGTGACCCACTGGGACTTCCTATGCTTGCAGTTGCATTTATCTGCATCACACACAACACATCAGTTATAAAACATCCCATAACTCTGTATAGGTGTCACAGCCTTACCTATAATCCTCCTGGAAATTCTGGGAAGAAGGTAAACGATTTTAAAAGGGAAAAAATTAAGATAAAATAATAATAATAATAATAATAATAATAATAATAATAATAATAATAATAATAAAAACATTAGTTTTACTCTGTTTCAACTGTAGATAAAGAAATAGGTGAAGAAATGAAATTTTCCTAATAAATAACCTCTTTGTGCATAAATATAACAATAAAGGAATGGGAAAAGTGAGAAAAGAGGGGTGACCCACAGCAGGTGTAAATGAAAAATTAATTAATTCACACTGCTGCAAACTTCCTTCTCATTGGTGAGGTGCTGGCACTGTAGTCATCCTTTTATTTGCCTCTGATTTAGGGGTCCTACCCTGTGAGCAATTTATTGGTGCACATTTTGGAAATAAAAATCCAAACTAGCCAATCCATTTCCCTGAGGATCCCACAGCAGGAAGTGCTGTCCAAGATGCCCCAGCTGACACCTCTCTATTCCAAGGTACCTCCATTTTCCCCAATCAAATCAGAGCAGCTCTAAAGGTAAACAGGAAGCTAAAGTGAGATGAATGGTTTATAGGTGCTTCATGCTTCCCTACATTGATTAATAGATAAAGAATTCATCCCTCCACCAAATTAGTTGACAAAACCTGCTGTAATTACTCCCTGTACACGATGATCTGTAGGCACAGGGAACTCCAGCAGGGACTGAGCTCCTTCCAAAGATATTTTACACTGGTTGGCTGCACCCACCAGGTATTTACATCCCACAGATCGTGTCTTTGTATTCCAAGTTTCTCAATATGGTTTTAATTTGAAATTAAAGCAGGGGTGGTCACTATTTCATGGAATGCCATCACTTGTGAATCAGGTTTGCAGCATGGGCAGCTGCCCTGGACTCTGCTGTTTCTTGGCTTTGGGAGCTTAATTTTTCCTTTTGTTTTCCCTGTTTTTGTCCTTCTCGTTATTCTGTTCTGTGAGCAGCAAACGCAATTTTCTTTCACTCATGTAAGAAATTTTGTGAAAGCAGCACATTTGCCACCTCAAAATCAATCCCAAAGTTGATCCAGAAGATACTTGACCACTCCTAAAGCAGAGCAATACAAGAGAAAAGCACTTCAGCGCTTGCATCAAATATTGCCTGGCCACCATGGACAAGGCTGGAGGCATCCAGAGATGGGCTCCAGCTTCTGGAGAAGGCATTGATTGAGTTATTTTTAAGGAGTTTGCTATTAGAATAATTATTGGTTGTTAGGGTAGGAACCAGCAGCTAGGGAGTGGGGGGGATACAGGGCTTAGTCTTGTTCATTGATTACTTTGCAGTTCAAGTTTTGCAAGGGGGATCCAGCCCTTGAGATGGAGATTCCCGTGCTGGAAAAAGGGGAATCAATAAATCTATTGGGAAAAACATAATTTCATTTTCCTTCTTAACCAGAAATTGAGATACACACATTTCTCCCTCCCTGCTTTTCCCTGACTTAAATATATCCTGTGTTATGTAAGTAATTGTTTTGAACCCACTCTAGGACACAGCCAGAGACATGACTCCAATAACACATTATCAGTAAAACAAAGCAAAACAGTTTCATGTCCCTGCTGGGTTTGTATATCCACTCTTAAATGAGCAGATTGTCTCATTATTCACCCTGATCTGGTCATTGTATGCTTAGTCACAGCTGTCACAACAGGTGCCCGAGCCTCCCCCTCCATGGCACTGCCTTTGCTCTCTGGAGTTTGTTGTCACATTCCTCTGGTGGCTTTGCTGTTCCCTCTCTGGCTCTTTCCAGGCTCACCTTCATCATTCCTTCTGAGATCACCCTAGTTTGGCTAACCTGGGATATAATCAACCTTGATCATCCCTTCTGAAATCATCCAGGGTTGGCTAACTCAGGATATGACCAACCTTCATCATTCCTTCTGAGATCATCCAGGTTTGGCTAACCTGGGATATAACCAACCTTCATCATCCCTTCTGAGATCATCCAGGGTTGGCTAACTTGGGATATAACCAACCTTCATCGTAGCCATCAATTCTTCACAAGCTGATGTTCCTCATCCCATCACACAAAACCAATTTATCCATCAACTTTGGCCATGGTTGTCTTGCCTGGACTTTTCCCATCTCTCCCAGTATCTCCAGTGACCATCTCTCCTCGTGGAATTAGATATTCCAGGACAGGGCTAGAGGCTGATTCCTCCACTAGACCGGATCATGCCAAGCGACAGCAGGAGTCTCCAGTGAGTTGAGAATTTCCATGGGCTCTTGTCCAACATTATATTTAACAAGAAAATTCTTTGGAAACAGCTTTTATGCCCCAAGATATCATCTCTTCCCTTTTATTTCTCTTTAACGTCCTTTGGTGGTGGTGTGGGGCTCCTAGGGTTGAGTGCAGAGCTGCTCCCCTCCTGTTCCTCTGCTCTCACTGCAGATTTATACATCACATTTTCCCACTGAGCTCAGCACTCACTGGAGATCTTTTACTGCTGAAAATCCTGCGAGTTCTTCAATTATCAGCACTGTGCCACTGTGAACTAACAAACTTTATCTAATACAGCAGCATATCAAACATTTTTAGTTCTGTAACAAATGTTTTCTTAGCTGGAAGCAAATCTCCTCTGATATTAAAGTATCTCCAAATAAAGAGACAACTTTATATTAATTTTTTTTTCTATTGTCTTCAAGGAATATATTGCAGGTTGAGGGGAAAATATATACAATTCAAGCAAGCTCTTTTATGTTTTGTAGACATCAGAATTTAGGGCCTAACTCCTGAAATGATGTAATCCATCAGTCCCACTGAATTCCAAAGGCTGGTGAGGGAGAAACTAGACTGAAAGCCAGGAATGTAACCTGTACCAATCCCCTGAAGCACTGAAAAGATTTCTATAATTTTTCTTCAATAAAACTACAAAGGAACAAGGAAAATACCCAGCTCTTGATTTACAGAATAAAGAAATTCAGTGCACTACTACTACTACCACCATTTGTTTTCCCTCTAAAAATCCAGAGTTAGGGGCTAAACAGGCATTTCTATCTCAAGTTTCATCCATTTGGGATTAAAATCTTCTTTTCTCCCTAATTTACCCTTCCTGCCCTGCCCTCCCTGTCCTGCAGCACAGGAAATCTCTACAGAAACAGAACTCCCTACAGCTGAGAACAAAGTTTTACCAAAATCTTCAATACATTGCCACCATTTTAAATGCAATTTATTGCCTGAAAACCAAAAGTAGAGCCAGTATCATGTTATCCAGATTTCTCTTGGTCACCTCCACTTTAAATAATTCATCCTCTCTGTTACATTTTACAGCTCTTTGGGAATATTAATTAGCACGAGGAGCTAAATTGACTTAAATTTTTGCTGCCTTAAAACTGAGTAGGGGATTAATTCCTCTCTTATTCTCCCTCTTTTCCCATGTTACTTAAAAACCAAAATAATTTTTTCTGGTGTTTGTGGCTTGACCCTTTTCAGGATGGGAAGTGCCCCAGACTGGCATTGGGTCACCTGTTAAAATAAATGGGAGCAGCAGTACCTGAATGCAGGTATGGACTGATGGTCAAGGAAACATCAATCTGCAAAAAATGTAAACAAACTTGGGGGGAGGAACAAATCAGAGGGGTGATTTGGTGGGGAACAGACCAGGACAGAAAGCTGGAATCCTACAAAACCATCAGTGTAAAGGATCTGAAGGAAAAGAGCTTGGCCGCTGCTTTTTTTGTTTTGCTCTTTTTGTCCTTAATGGGTTTTTCTTTTGGTGCTGGTGGTGGTTTTGGATATTTTTCTCTACTTTGTTCTGATTGCTTTATTTCATGGCTTGGCTTAACGCGCTTTCTCCAAAAATCACTGACCAGGATAAAAGAAACTGATTGCTCCAGACATCCCTTCACCAAAGGGAGCAGGACACAGCTCCTCCCAGGAGGTTTGAACCCACTCTCATTTTTGGCATTTCTATCCTTATAAAACCTTCATCTTCCATATTATTAAGCTCTTCCCATTCAAAAATCCCAACAAAGCGGCTGTGCCAACTACCCAGAGTAGTACAACTACCTGGAGTTCAAGGCCTTTATGGGTGAGGAGACATTTTAGAGCACAATAACAACACAAAATCTTTATCAAAGATTGTCAGAGAGTTGGAATTACCAGTGGCTATCAGTCAATAATTGTTGGAGTAAGTGATGGATAAGGGATAACCCTTACCAGGCAATTCTGCTGTGGGAATGAGAAAAGCAGCTGGAAGGAATTCATAACTAGAACCTCGCAGAGCTCAGAGAAATGTGATGTATAAACAGATTATTATTTCCTGTGGATATTGATGATAAATGAACTGGATTTGGTATGCTGGGAAATATCACCACCCTCCAAGCCACCTCAGCTCCCTGTGGCTGAAGGCAAAAACCTCTCCTGTAACTTATGAGAACTTGAAAAAAAAAAAAAAGAAAGCCCTGAGTATCTGGGTCGTTAGAAATACAAAAGTTGCACATTCCTCTTGCACATTTTTCATTTAATTAGTATTTCCTGCGGGCTTTCAGTGTAATGAGTCATTGATTATTGCAAGGAGTGCTTTGTAGGGTAAATTAATTCATTTAAGAGAAACAGTAAGAAGTGTTAAGTAGCTGGATAAATAAATAAAAGGCAAAGTGTTTTGGTCATTTGGTTGCAAGTCAGGCCCAGGGGACCCCCATTTCTCTAAATCAGCTACTCAGTGAGCACACCAACACCTGCCCTCCTCTTTCCTTATCTTTACCTGTACCTACAGCTTTTATAAAATATGGAAAATCCCTATAGATAAAGCAAAAATAAAGAAAACTCTGTTCCTCTGCTGAAAATCAGATTCCCTTTACCAACCTGATAGCTAATTACATGAGAAAATATGTGCAAAAAAAGGAGCTTCCATTTAATTTAGAGAAAACTTCTATTTGCTGCATGTTCATTTCAAATAATAAACAAAATTTCTGAAAAGAAAATAAAGCAGAAAGAGTGCATTAACATTTAAGGTCAAAAAGAGAAAAAAGGTGAAGTTTGGAAGAACTGATTGTACCTGTGACATTGATCTTAAGACATGAGAGGGACATGGGACAGGACTAAGGATATGTGAGGATGTATTACCTGGCTTTTCACAGGGTTTGCAAAAATATATTCTAAGGGAAAAGTCACTGAAACAAGAAACCTCTTCAATGCAAACAAAGATGCAAAAGGAGTAATTTTTGGTATTTATCAATATATCTATGCAGGATGTGATTTACCAGCCCAGTCAGCAACCGGCTTTTGAGAATTCCACAGAGAGGAAAGAAAGAAACAATACAATTCCTCATGACCTTACCTTGAGCCCATTCCCATCACAAATGAGCTTGGATCACAAATGGTTTGGCACCAGTAAAATATGGTTATAATTTGTGAAGATCCCAAACTCCCTGCAGTATTAAACTCCATAAATCCAGGAGAAATGTTGCCTCGTATTTGGACTGAACACAGAGCTACAAAATCCACAAACATCGTGGTTACTTTGGTGGGTTTTATTGTTGAGAAGGGCTCCCAATCTGCTGGGAGGAAATTTCTTTCCATTGGTCTCATTTTGTCTTTACAAAACTTGCCTTTTGCTGCCTCCCGCCTTGGAAACTGAATTTTAGGTGTTGGCCAGAAACACTCCATGAACAGCCAAGCACAGAAAGGTAACAATCACCTCAGTTTCCAAATATTTCTTCAATCCACACTGCAAAGAAAGAGAGAAAAAAATACCTTTATACAGGAAATTATTGCTAGAAATCACAATCTAAGCAGGGGAAATGCAGAATTCGAGAAGTAAATTAGTCATTTATAATATGCACTCAGATCTAGCCTGAGATGTGCTATTAACTCATTTTAAGCTGCAAAGCTCTGGGGACGAGAGGCACATTTTCCACGTTGGGACTTGCAGAGTCAAATTTAAACCCATTAGTGGCACTCACCAAGCACCAGCGCTCTGAGGTGGCCTCACTGAGCAAGGCAGAGCCCTGCCAGAGCAAATTCCATTTATCCAAGGTTCTTCTTCCAGTGAGGAGCAGTTATCAGGCTGCATAAAAGCTGAATTAAAAACCTCAACCTAAAATAGGGTGTGTAAGAAGTAGCAGGGAGTCCTTCCCTCCCTGGAGATCCCTGTTTTCCCAACAAACAGGCAGATTGTAAGGAGCCATTGTGCATTATCTTCTGCTGGTAAATGACTTCGCTCCCGTGTCTGCAGCACTGCAGGGGACACTCCAGCCTGGGGACAGATCTCCAGCTGGACTAACCCTGTCCAGGCACAGAGCCTCTCCCAGGGAACACAGGAGCTCAGGGACTTTCATTCCTTGGCATGGAAAAGAGGGGAAAGAAAGGTGCTTTTCCAGCATCAGCAGACAGGTGAGTAGGAATGCATTTACAGACATGGATTTTGGGGTGACCTCAGTGACAGAAATTTACTTACTGGGAACTCACAAGGTTGGGGGTGTCTCTGGAAGGATGCAGAGGTGGGGAGGCCCTGGCACAGAGAAATTGTGGCTGCCCCATCCCTGGAAGTGCTCAAACCCATCTGGCTGGGGTTTGGAACAACCTGATCTGGTGGAAGGTCCCTGTCCATGGCAGGAGGGTTGGAGTGAGGTGATCTTCGAGGTCCCTTTTAACCCAAACCCTCTTGTGACTCTATGACTTAGATTTTTAGATGATGTTGATGTTGAAATAGCTGATAACATCAGGCTTTTTTTCCCAGATCTGTTTGATTACTAAAAATAGCATAGAATCATGTAATAGTTTGGGTTGGAGGGCACCTTAAAGATTCTCACCTAATACCAGTGAGAATGTTCACAAAAAGAGCTGAGTTCTGCCCTATTATTATCTTTGTAAAATATTTTTTATTTTCTAGAAATTGCATATGTTGATCCTTGCAATACTTTACAAATAATGCATTTATCCATCATTTAAACCGTACATTATAATTTATAGGTTAGTTATTTTCTTTTGGTGCCAATCAAAGTGGGAAGCTGTATGAAAGAGCTTAGATTAGGAGAAAGAGATTTTTCATGGTAAGCTTTAATAAACTAACGATGACATTATAAGAGCTATCAAATAAAAACCTGCCATCTAATAATAAGCTTGTTCCTGTTTATTTAAATGTTCCACTTTGTGCTTGTTTGTAACAAGTTAATCATTACAGCAAAGTTCAACCTGCAGAAACAGGTGAGCCTGCTTTGGCTAAAACCTGCAGCACTGAAAAGGGGGCTGGAGAGTTCAGCCCCTTTTATTGCAGAATAAAACCTCCTTCTGGAGATGAACAGGAGGTTTTGCCCAAATAACTCCTGTGTTAGGCAGGGTAAGGATTATCCCTGTCCTAGCACAGCCCTGTGCAACCTGACCTTGAATGTTTCCAGGGATGGGGCATCCACCACCTCCCCTGGCAGCCTGTGCCAGTGTTTTGTAAAGGAATTTCCTCCTAAATCTGTCTTGTCCTTACTCCACCAGGCTGGAAGCTCCAGTGGCTCCCAGAGATGGTCCTGCTGGGCAGCCACCTGCTCCCTGGCATTCCACAGACTAAAACAAATTCAAAATTTATTCGTCAAAGTTATTATTGGGAAACCAGCTCTCCCAGCATCCTGAACCTCAAAACACACCCACATTCTGTGATCCCAGGGGAGCACGTTCACCCTGGCTGCTCCTCTCCTGTGTCCCCCAGCAGGGACAAAGCAGGATGCCCTGACTCCTGGGGGCTGCTCAAACACTCTGTGCCTGCTGCCTGTGCCACAGAGGTTAAACCCTGGCACTCCTGAGAACATGGCAGAGCTCTGCCAGCTGCTGATAAATGAGATTTCAGGATTTCATGTTCAATCATGGATATTTGGACCTGTTACACCCTCTCCTGCCGTGACCCAACCAACCACAGCCATATGGAGTGGTGGGAGCACTGCTGGCCACACCTGCTGGTGGCCTCAGGTCAGCTTTGGCAGCAGCCCTGCCCAGAGCCCCTCCATAAATCACACACTAAACTCGTGTCTCTGGCCATCTGGAGGCTCCCAGCTGAACCACAAGCACAGATCCTACACCTCTTGGCACTGTGGGCGTGGGCAGGGGCAGCACGGGATGCTGAACGTTCTCCATGGGAAAGGGATGTTCTCCATGGGAATGGGATGTTCCCTACAGGAATGGGATGTTCTCTGTGGGAATGGGATGTTCTCCTTGGGAAAGGGATGTTCCCTACAGAAATGGGATGTTCTCTGTGGGAATGGGATGTTCTTCATGGGAATGGGATGTTCCCTACAGAAATGGGATGTTCCCTACAGGAATGGGATGTTCTCCACGGGAATGGGATGTTCCCTACAGAAATGGGATGTTCCCTACAGGAATGGGATGTTCTCCACGGGAATGGGATGTTCTCCTTGGGAAAGGGATGCCCTTGGAGCAATGCAGGGCACCAGCCTAAATCATTCAAGACCTAAACAAGTCTGTTCTTTCCCCCACCCTGCAGAGGAATGAGTCCCCCTCACCTGCATTTCAATCCATTTCAGCACACAGGTGCCTGGAAAGCCACATTTCTTCTTTTGAAGGAGAAAATCCCTCTCAGCCCCACCTCTACCACCTTTTTCTTGTCTAGAGGAAGCTGTTGTTGCTGGTGGTGCTGTTTTCCTGCAGAAAGGAGCAAGTTAACCTCTGTCATTTGGAAATAACATTTGCCTTTTTCCCTCCAGATGGAAACTCTTTGGTTTCTGCTCTCACTAAACACACAACTAAATCAAGATATGATCTGTTAACATATTCAAAATAATGTTTGGCCTGAATATTTTTTTTTAGCTTCAAACATCAATTTCATTTCATAATGAATACATGCTTCATCTCATAACATTTCATTTTTCATACATTTAGCAAAATTGCTTAACTGATACTTTTTTTTTCCCCCAAACAGCTTTATTCCTACACTAAAGACATGCAAATCAAAGCCTTGCACTCTTATATAATGTGCAGAATTCCCTTCTGTTGGTTCAATTGCTAAATTCTAAAATATTCATAATAACTATATTTTTTAACAACATTAACTTGGTATCCTGATTCTATTTTTAGGGAAAGCACATTAAGATGCCCAAGCAGAATTTTACAGGTATCTCCGTGCAGTGATTTTTTTGTTTTTATTCACTCCCTTCTCCAGAGGGGAGCCTCCCCAGCACCCACCACGGGCTCCAGATCCCGGGAGCGTTATCAGGAACGCTGGCAAGGCACATCCAGCCTCCCTTCCTAAGCCTAAAGCCCTCTGCAATTCTTGTCTGAGCAGTTGTTAGCTGAAGACAAGACGACTTATTTCCATTCATTCCCCGCATAATCCACCTTATGAATTTCCACTTCACCTACCCGCACAGCCAAGGAGCCAGAAATACAAAATATTTCCCACTGTGTTTTAAACCCACATCCTCCTGGATACACGATAAGAGCTTAATAGCTTTGACACTGCACTGTTTTCATATTCATGCCTAAGTTATGGATACAGCAACAGATCAGCACTTCTTTGTGCCTGGCATTGGCTCTGCTTCGCTGCCTTAAACTGTCTGAGTCAAGGCCACGTTTTAATGCCATAGAGCTCTATTCAAATACCAGTATGACCACATTTTAAAAGCCACCCTGTACCACTTCATTGCCGCAGATGTCCTTTACATCTGGCAAGGGCCGTTTCTCTGCGTGTCAACAGTAATTCAGTTTAACAGCTGTCTCTTTTGACAAGCTTAGTGTCAGACTCTAAAATGACAGGGTGACAGTTTTCCTTTTCTTTAACAGAACATAGTGAAAATTAACTGTTTGAATGCAGGAGCACCGAACGCCTCCCGAATACAGTTTGGAGTCAAGGGAATGGGGTTGGGAATTGTTGGTATTAACAACCCGAGCTGGAAACCTGTAGGGTCTGGCAAAATCCTGGCACTGCCCCTGGAACTGAGATTTTTACCTGAAATCAAAGTGATCAGCAGCCAGAAAACCTTAAATGGGGTTGAAGTAGGTGTCGGAGGGAAACCCTGGTAATTTGCACATTGGCATGATGAGTGATTTTCCTGAATTGCATAAAGACACAGGACAATATCTCATGTATTTAAAGTGCTTCTTAACACACCAACTGAAGGCACCCTATGTACCTTTACAGGTACTCAGTACATGTAAAAGTACTCAGCTTTCCAAAATCTCTCCACACACGCAGGTTTTCCACAAATTTCAGGCCTCCAAAAACACCTCAGCATAATTTCTGTGGGACTACAACTGTGCCGGGAATAATACTGTACATCTTCATGACTGAAACCTTTAACTGCAAAACCAGCTTGTGGACAGTCACAAAGTGCCACCATGATTTATGAACCACCAATAAATGCTACCAAGGCACTACTTTAATCTGGTGCAAGAGTGAGCTTTACGAGGCTGCTTGTATTTGGCTCACATAAAAGCGAATTA